GTACGGCTATTTTTAGAGGTGGTATTTGATTTAAATTACATTTCAGTATTGAAAGAATATATATATATATATAAAATGAAAGAATAACTCAACACCCATTAACAGAAAATAAAATTTAAAAAAAATATATCAACAAATGTCCTCATAAACCTGCTGATTTTTGACTCTTCAAATGTCCTCAGCTTTGTTCCAAGTGCCAGAAAAATGCATTTCTAATGTTTTAAATTTCAAACTTTTGCTGGGGGAGGACCACCAGACTCCCCTTGATCAGTTGCTTGGCTGGGGACTGAGCTCCAGGGAGGAGCTTTGGGTAAATAGGCGGTGCTTTGTACCAGCAAGTGTTTAGGCAGCTTCACACGGCTACTAGAGGAGAATCAAGGATTTCTCAAACATGCATGAATGAGTCAAAGCAACACTCTGGGTATGGTTTCGATGATAACACATGATGCATAACACCGCCCCCTTTAAAATAGTGGTTAAACATCTGTCAGAATCAGCTGCTGTCTGTAGTTTCAGCACTTTGAAGCCTGTTAGAAGGAAGTGACTCTCATTACCCACAATACTCACTCAACAGCTCTCAGCCCTGATTTTAAGGTTTAAATTGGGCCAAATGCCTCACTCAGATGGTTGTTTCTCTGCTCAGTAATATTTAATGAATACCCTGCAATGCCAGTAATTTTTATTTACACACGTTTCAGGCATTTCAACGCCAGCAGATTGTAGAGACAAGCTGATCCCTTTACTCGGAGTGTTCCGCCTAATTAACTTGCTTTGGGGGGAGGAGGGGGGCTTTGCATAATTTTTTGCTAAACTTTGGGCGTAATAAGCAGATCAAAAACCAATGCATTAATTAATTAATCCTCAGAGGTGGCCACCGGTGGTTTGGAGCATTTATTTCACTTTATTTATTTTTTTTCAACAAAATATGACAAAGCTGGCGTGAAGTAATGAATCAACCAGGTGGTATTTTAGCCTGAAACTATGGCAGAAAAACCACAACACTTCCTCCCTGTGGCCATGTGGTTAACAGGGTACGAGCTTTGTGGGAACTCGTTTTGTACCAGACCTGTAAACATAAACAACATTTAAATCCCACCTGACATGAGCTGTGCAAACGGCTCAGGACACGTGGACGGGATGGGCAGAGTGAGCTTGTTGACAGCAACTCCGTAGGCAACGGCAAGACCATCGATGCCCCTATAGGGGGCCTCTCCTGTTAGCAGCTCCCACAGCAGAACGCCGTAACTGAAAGAGAAAAAACACAGACGTGAGACAGTGTGCTCTGGAAACATATGTCCTGAAACGTGTCAGTAAACAAAATCTCTGCCACACAAATAATAAGATAGAACAAAAACTTCACCTTGTTTCATAAAGTGACTTTTTTATCAATCAATTACATTTCAGTGCTCTTGGTTTTAATTATAAGTCATGAAAAATGTTTGATTCTCCCTTCAAATGTCTCTTAATACAAATGTAATCAATATCAGTACAGTGCACAGGGTAATATAGGAATCCAGGGAACAAAAGTACCAGGACACAGAGATGGGCGTATTGAGATTTACAATGAACTGACTCCATAAGTCCTAACTGAGGGTTTTTGTTTATTTTTTTTTTGCCATTAAAAGCATAAACATAAATATTTTGTTCCTAAACTTTATTTTCTATTTATTTTGGTTTTCTAAAAAGTGTTTTTCACATTTATTATTTATTAAAGATGACAAAGTTAGTTTTTTTTAGATCACATTAAAAAATCTTTTGTGTACCCAGCTCTGTTTAAATGCAAACTATACGCCATATGTTGCACAGAATGTAGGAGTCTATCAGTCCCAGCTGGTAAAAGTCACGTTTCCACGACTTCTGGCACAGCGCATCAGACAATGTTAACTTTAATGTTAATGAAATTTCTGCTGCAATAGTGCTTAGTTGAATGAAAAACAGTCAAACAGTAAGGTGGGACAGGTGGTATATTTAGGCATTTTTCTCTCAAAAATTTGACTTCGTTAAAAGAAAAAAAACCAGAGTTCATAAAAGAAAGCTGTCAGCTTTAACTCTAACTCTAACCTAAAGGGCTCAGAGCTCAGAATAAAATAACAATTATTAAGAGTGCATCTTTTTTTAAATAAAATTACAGAACATGAAAAATTCTGCAATTTCTAGTGCATCAGTTGAATCCTCACTTACATAACTAAAATAAATACATTGCCTGGAAAAAAAAGGGTGTCCAGCTAGATGTTGGTCTATGATGTGGGGTTGCTGCAGTTGGTCAGGTCCAGGTTCAGCAACAGTCTGAGCTCAAAGAACAAGGTCAGCTGACTACCTGAATATACTGAATGACCAGGTTATTCCATCAATAATTGTTTCTTCCCTGATATATCCATATTCTAAGATGAAAATGCCAGGATTCATCAAGCTCTTATTGTGAAAGAGTGGTTCAGGGAGCATGAGACATCATTTTCACACACAGATTGGCTCCACAGAGTCCATTGAAAATTTGGGATGTGCTGAAGAAGGTCAGACCCTACCATCATCAACTGAAGATCTTGGAGAAAAATTAATGCAATACTGGATGGAAATAAATCTTGGGACATTGCAGAGACTTACCCAAACAACGCCACAGCAAATGCATGCTGTAATCATAGCTAAAGGTGGTCCAACGAAATATTAGAGTGTGACCTTTTTCTGGCCAGGCAGTGCATTATGTCTATATCAGGGCTATTCATCTGGCGGCCCACGGGCCACATCCGGCCCACGAGTGAAGAAAGTTTGGCCCACCAATTGATTCATTCATCTCTTAAGCTCAAAACCCCAGTTTTCTACTTTAATTTCTCTTAACTTCTTTTAGTTAGACATAGACATGTTTGGTATCAACAGAACTGTCAGAACCTTGGCTACAAGCTGGTGAAAAACATTTCTATGCACACTAAAGCGTTAAAATGACAAGCAGTTGAAGATAAAACTATGAATGTGAAAATAAAATTGGTTTAAAAAATTTGATAAGTGAGAGATGTCAAAATAATATTAGTGTCAAATAGGGGGGATAATGTGTTCTTTTCGTTTTTGATATTGTTTATTTATCACTACTTGTATAAGTTTCTGTATGTTGTATTCATGATTAAATGCAGCAAAATAAACTATTTCAAAGGTAACAGATCTTTGTAATAATTTATTTATTTACATAATAACTGTAATTTCTGGATGTCCGTCCCCTAAGCTGTTGGCCTGCAGTAACTGTGGCCCCCGGAGCAGTTTAGTTGAATAGCCCTGGTCTATATACACTTTTCACAGTCCATGAAACACAGCACAGAGAAACCCCTCACACTGCTGTTTATAACTGTAGCATAACATACTACATCCTAACTTAGGACATAAAAAAACATCTTAAAAACATCCATTGTGCTCTGATGTGAAGCAACAGATGACAGTGCTTAAAGCAACACATGCTTACAAAGCACTGATCACAAACACACACACAGGAGCTTTGAGCACACACAATGAGTGCAGCCGCCCGTCCTCAGAAGATGAAGTGTGGCGTGGGACTTTTGGATCTCCCACACTGTCAATTAGCCCCCACCCGGACTGAACTGAATGCACTGTGGAGGCTCGCTTTAGTGGAGAATACAGACTGGATTTTCTCTCTCTCTCTCTTTTTTTTTTTTTGTTGTTGTTGATGTTGTTGTTTTCTCCGGTCTTTAATTACGACTTCCACACGCTGTGACTGCACAGGAGCGCAGCTCGTCGACTCGCCCCGAGGCAATCATTGTCTCTGCTTGGCGGCTTTGGAGACGAGCGGCGCTGAACAGATGAGAAAAAAATATGAAAATAACCTCCGTTTTTCGGAGAAACGCTGCCCACTTTTTTTCTGCTATAACGCCGTGGATGTTGGGAAAACGAGAGCCTGCCTGGGTGTGCTTGAAATAAACAGACAGGACAACAGAGGGATGGCGCTACGGCCCATTTAAGGAGTAAAAAAAACTGGCACTTTTAAAAATTAAGGCTCTTTAAATTCAAAGAAAATTCAATTAGTAGCCTGTACTGAAGCTACACGTTTGTTGAAGCTCTCAAGGTGCCTTGAACTWTGTGGAAACAATAAGATGGGAAAGCAACCAAACCAAAGCACATAACTGCAACAATCATTATGTTGCAATAATGTGAGGATAGACACTTTTTCCCAACATTTGGTTGTTTTCTTTCAAATTTAAATGTATGAACTGCACCTAAAGACCATCCTGACTCTCAACAAATCACACACTCTTTACGGCGCAATTACAAACCCACAAACCATAATCAGGGGATTCTTCTCTTTCTGTGTAGTTGTGGCTAAACACACACACACACACACACATTCCCAGATAAAGGGCTGTGGTCAGGTCTGCTGTGAGGCCTCCTTCTCTGCCTTTACTGGAGACAATGGGTCAGTGTGCACAACACATGGCTGACAACAAAGCACAGAGCAGCTCTTTGAAGAGACGCCGTCACATGGCCATGGCGGCCTCGCTGCAGTCCATCATTCTGTCCATCCCTTCATCAAAGTGTCCCACCAATGTCCACTTCCATTTATACTGTGTTTTTTTTAATTTTGTAGACCTGTTTCGTGCAAACTACACATAGTTAAAAAACTAACATTCCTTGAAAGAACGTAAATCACCCGCCGACATTCATGTCAGATTTACTGTAAGATTAAATTATGTTGAGAAAAAAAAGGAAGTTAATGCCGTTTTGGTCAAACCATAAAAACGCTGTTAAGCACAAGCCAAAGCAATAACAAGATGTCACATTCTGAGTGTGTTCTTATTGAATCTCAGTTCTTTTTTCAGCTGTTCCCTCTTCAGGGGTCGAGAAAATCGTCCTCCTCCATCTCACTCTAGGCCTTTTTTGCACTGCGAGGCCGGGGCCGGCCTGACTTTAAACCCAGGTTCYGCGTGTTTGCATCGYCTCTTATGGCTAGGGTTGTGCAATWTTGGCAAAAAAATTAATCACGATTAATTGTGGTATTTAGCCAATAACGATTAATTTGACGATTAATCCCCTGGAGTCCCTGGACACCCWTATTTCYTAGTCACATGYCCAATTTAGTGGGAAAGATTTGATCTTTATAAAAATCTGTTCCAAATTGTGTCAAAATTGCAGACTTATGTGTTCATAGATAAATAAATCACAGAACTTTTTTCKTTTGACTTTATTGTGGTCTATCYTTATTGTGTTGCAAATAAAACACTTTTTTAAACAAATCGTTTCCACCCACATCCAGGCAGCACTCTGCTCAAAGCAAACACAACCAGAAATGCCTTCTGTCCTTTGCATTCTCTGTCCCAACTCAGACTACATCCATGTCCTCTCTAACTACATCCTCATTTCATTTCTTTGGGTTTTCTCTGACTTTTTCTGATTAGGTATAAAAGGAGCATTACGAAGCACAAAATATGACAACCGAGACCTCGAACTGTTGAGTACCTTAAGTTTTTCATCAAGCAAGAATAGGAAGAAGTTCCAGCTACAAAGCTTCAAAAATCAGCGTCTTCAGTTCCCAAACCCTTGCTAAATAGAAGGCTCATGGAACATGTGATAAATATGCTCCTGTCCCAGCTTTTTTGGAACATGTTGAAGACAACCYATTGAAAATGAGTTGCACTCTATCTACCATTTTTGCTGTTGTACATCTACTCATGCAAGTGCAGAAAAACTAGTGACTGCAGCCGTCAGTAGAGCACATGCGCAATTTCACTCTGAAGCTGAGTATTTACAAAACCACCACTTTGAAACCTGGTTTCAATAAGTTTGGTGTCAGAGAAAATGGCCTTTGTTGTTGTGAACGTGACGCGCTGAAATGTAGCTGAAATGCTACAATTTTATTAAAAAATGCTTAATGTAAACTAGGCCTCAGTGCAGCWGGAGCAGCAGTGGAGGAATGAGGGGGGTGGTGAAGTGAGTGATCAGAATAATTACAATTTATGCCTCAGTTGTGCCCCCTATCCAAACCCCACCTACAGTTATGGTGTTTTGGTAATTACAGAAAAAAAACTCTGTTGCCATAAACAGAAATTAAACTCATTGCTTTGTACACAGACAGAACACAAACTATTTATTTAGCCATTTTCAAATTTTTATGGTTCCCATAAAGTTCTACTGACTAAAACCAAAGAATCTATTCGAACATTTCAAGACAAAACTGAAAAGAAGAAAACATAAAAAGAGGGAAAGAAGCAAAGCAAAAACATCTTTATCTGCAGAAATTTCAGCTTCATTCTGAAACATCATCTGTTTAATAATAATAATAATTCAATTTACACCTCAGGTCTAATTTAATATGTTGAGACATTTTTTTTAGCTGGCTTTGTTAGTTTTATGGAAACAATCCTGATCAAACCTTTCAAAAGATTCCAGCTCAAGACCATTTAGAAAATTGATTCAGGAACAATAAACCATTTTAAATACCTGAAAAGACCTATCAACATTTGTAATTAGACCCAATGTAGGGCAACTATAAKTTTCAGCACAAATTACAAATGGTTATAAAATGAGAGATTGAAATTTTTTTTAATATGCTAACATTTGTAGATAAATGTTGAGCGACAYCATCACTGTTTAGGATGACTTTGAATGAAAAAGTGAAAATGAGTTGATGCTTTTTAGTCTGTTTATACATTCTTGGTTTTTTACYGATTTTATCTGTGGAGTCAATATTTTATTTTGTGTATAGTATGGGAGTACATGTGTACCACACAGTGATGGTACAAATGTCAAAAGTAGAAAAAAGGACGATCTAAAGCAATGAATGAAGGGTTAACTCAGATGAAACACAGGAGCTTGAAAACTTGCCTGTTTGTTTTTAAAAAAACGTAGGTTTTTAATAATCTTTCGCCTGGATATATGGAAAGCCAAAGAGCAGCACACTAGCCCTCAGCTAGATGATAGCCCTGTGTGACCTGGCCCACATCTCGACACAGAACACACAGGCACTCACCTCCAGACGTCGCTGCCCTTGGAAAAGGTCGAAGACTTGATGACCTCCGGGGCCATCCAGGCGTACGTGCCAGCTGTGCTCATCTTGGTGGTCTTGTGCCACTCCCTCGCCAGGCCAAAATCAGTGATCTTCAGAGTCAGACCCTCCATGTACTCGTTCTCTATGGGCTGAGCCAGAAGGACTGGAGGAAGAGGGAAGAAATAAAAACTGTTAATACTTGGTAGAACAGAGGGTGCTATGTGATGCAKTTGTAACATATAATATTATATGAATGTAACCCTTTTAATCCATGGGCAGTTTGTGGACCAGTAGACTCCTGGGCCWYAATACWTAAAACCTTTTGTGTAWAATTCTGGTCATCCATACATTATCYTAAAGGTCTGAGGGTACTCTCCGTTGAGTAAAACTCTTTTTAAATAGCCATTAAAATGATAGATTCTTGTGAAATTTGTTAATTTAAATGGAGACCATTCAGACAGGAGATGAACAAACCCAATGTYAGCCTACATTACAGTAGATTTTTAAGCCCCATCTCTCTCTGGGACTGAGAATTGCACCTCTGTTAAATCAAGAAAAACGTCTGTTAAATCTCTGGGAGAACGTGATTTTGTTTCTCCCACCCYAAGGCGAGGTGCACCGGAAATACGGCACGAGCCCAAAGTGCTATCAGCCCTGCATGTGCCACGGGTTGAAATTTCTATGAAAAGCACCAGTGTGGACTAATTTTACCATCATTTGTCTTGTAGTAAAAAAAAAAAGCCATGCCTGACTGAGCTTGGTCTTCTGTGTTCAGATTCATACATTCCCGGTTTCATTCTCACTTCCTCTTCCTCTTGTTCAACCAATCCAAACAAGAACAAACAAGATTCTGCAAACTCTCATTTCACRGTTTGCTCTCTTGAATTAACTCAGAATATAAAACTGTCCACTGAAATTATGAGTGGTATATTAAAAAAAAAAACAACACAAGCATCCAGGAGTTTCCTGAGCCTGTGTTAGCTGAAATGCTAAGGCAGTCATGTGAATGCTTGGGAACGGGGCCAAACTGGGACGTCTCAACTGCAACCGACTGAAGCTGAGTCATCACATAACAGGCTGGACAAGTGTTGGTCAAACGGGGACATACACACAGGAAAACACGTTTAAATAAACACTCAGCTTGTTTACTCCTGTATATACTGTAGATAATACTTGGAGGATAAAAGTAGTGTTTTTTGGGACGATAAAAGCAAAATGTTTTCATGAACTAGAAGACTAAGGCGCTTTTATGAGCTGGGTTCACAATCTCAACTTTTATCAACAATTAGGAGATGCACACAAGAACAGGGAAATGGAAACTTGGAAAACGGAAAAGAAAGACAAAGATTTCCACAGATGCAAACAAAACTAGGAGGTCACTTAAGAAGATTTCTGACTTCTTTTAGGGTTTAGTGTTGGGTAACTGGACYAATTTATCCACTACCAGTGGTTGGAGTCCATAAAGCTGTACACTTTTTAAGGACCGTTTTTCCTGACAGGCATCTCTCCACGGCACCTGTTTTTGGATCGTGGGAGAAAACCAGAGTACCCGGAGAAAAGTGACGGAAACACAAGGACTATGTAATATGAATTGCTCTCAGCTACATCAAATTTTAGCACAATATTTGTAAAACTGGTTGAATTATATCCATGTTCATGATTTACATTATAAGTCAGTTCACTGTGGTGGCCATCTTGGATTATACTGCCAGCAAAACCTAGTCAGTTGGAGATGTACGTCCACCGACTTGACTATTTTCAGTAAATTTTGATAAAATCCATCCAATAGATCATGAAATATTTTAAGCTGCAAATTTGACCCCGAATAGTTGATGTTAGTGCTCAGAGTATGTGTTGGAGATAAGCATCAGCTACTTAAACAAAATATCAATATCTGTAAAATTATAAATTATAAGCATTTTTGTGTTACCTAAAGTCTATGGCTGTGGCAGCCATCTTGAACTGGGGTGACTATAAATGTTTATCAGTTGTAGGTGAGCAACTAAAGACTGAATAAAATGAAATTTCTACTCAAATTTATCAAGAAGTTCATATTTTGCTAACAAACAAAGTAACCCCCACACAAGCCGTGTTTCCATCAATGTTTTTATGTGCATTTTGAAGCATCGCATTAAAAAAGATGAATGGAAACGGCGCGAAAAAAGTTCCTCGATTTTGCATTAAGGGTTTTACGCTCGCTTGTGCTTTGGGATTTTTCAAAAAAATTGTTAATGTGCAAAAGGGGAGATGGAAACACATTTGCTGAATAAGTTCTGATGTAGCGTAAGTTCACTTCACAGAATTGATCAGCTGTTCGCACTGGCTGCCCAGTACTGGTACCTGGACCCTTCTCCTGCTGTCACCGTCTTCCTGGATATTTTCCGTAACGTGAAGAGAATTGGATCTGTTTTTCTATGTCTCTAGACAGAATGTAACATCACCAGTACTAGTTGATATGACAGAATAATTACAAATTTCCTGATAATAGCAACACGTTGTCCTGAGATGTGTAGTCCCTGCAAGTTTGTGACTTTACTCCTGTTTACTACAGCCATGCGCAACGTCAACATCTGGCATAATTACTTTGTGTAGCCTGGTTGATTCGCTCCAAGCCAGTCGAAAAACACGTCTGATTTGCATTTTTCCCCTTTTGCAACATTTTAAAACTTTTCTCAAAATTCAAATTCAAATTTTATGGAAACATGGATACAGAGAAACATTTTCACCTGCCTTTGCCTTTTGATGGCTTAAGATAAATGTATGTTATGTATGTTTTCTTTACTTAACCAGGAAAATAACTCATCTAGATCAAAAACCTCTTTTCCAAGAGTGACGTGGCCAAGACAGCAAAATAGCAGACCCACTAAAATGCCAAATAACAAATCAAAAACAGAAAGAGAAACAATCAAATGTCCACCAGGTGGAATGTACCACTGACACGTCCATTGAGAAAAGTCTAAACATCTACACATGATAGCCGGTGTTGTGTAACTGTGGTGCAGGAGGACTCACAAAGTGAGTTTCTGTGGAAAGAGAAAAAATGTTGAGGACAGAAACTCCAGATTACATGTCTCAGAACAAGCAGCAGACGTGTCTCTCCTTCTTGTTGCTGACAGGCCGGCCATCCCTGGGAGCAAAGGCTGCTGTCAGACTCAGGGAAGAGACATGAGAAAAAAAAACTCTCACCCTTTATAGGGAAGTAGGACTCCTATATTCAACATGTACATGCAGTCACTTTCCAAGTTTCTCCCATTGTCCCCTCACTACACTTTCTCCTGACTTCACTGAAAAAAAAAATCAATCTCCTCCAGTTTTCATCTTTTTAGCACATTATTATGATTTTCATCTTCTTTTTGTTGCATTTCTGTCTTTTTTCCCTGTCTTGTTCCTACATCCTGTGCTGGGCCTCGGAGCCCCGGGGGCAGGGAGTTAGACGTCACAAAGGAATGCATCACAAGAGGTTGTGTTGTCTGCTGGGGGAACGAAACTTGGCTCTTTCACAATCTATTTGTGGGCCAAATAACACCCAGTTCTGCTAAAAACAAATTTACTAGGAGCAAAGGCAGAAGATTATTGGAGGCTGCTATCTGCAGTAGTAATTGTTGATTCTCAGAGATGGTTTCAAATAGGATTTAGATTCCGTCAATTGTTGCCTTATAAAAAAGGACAAATAAACAAAGGGCTGGCCGACCTTGAAGGAATGCATCACTGTTTTCTATTATGCTAAGATCATTTTATGAGAAGAAAATASAGTTACAGCTCTTTTGGTCAAACTTTGTAAACTGAGTTATGCTCATTTTTGTGTTTGCCAGTGTTGATTATCTGTGGCAGCCATCTTGAATTGGCGTGCACAGCAGATTCCAACAGTTACATTCTGAGAGCCTCATTGAAATCTGTTCAATGTTTTGTAAGTTATTTTGTTAATAGGTAAAAGTTAAAGCCAAAAATGTATATAAAGTKACGGTACATCATACAGTATAGTGTATGACATCATGTAGGGGCATCGAGAAGCATCGTAAGGATGCCCTGTTTAGTTTTCTGACGCCTTCAGTGCACCGTGTCAGTCTGCAGGTTCAATGAGAGTTGTTGTTTTTTTTAACCCTGCGTAAATTATGTAAACTTCATAAGCAGTGGTGGGGGTGACCACAATTATTTTATGAAGCCAGAGTGTTGTGGTGGTGTTGTCACAATCGCCGCTTCCGATTTCTTCATAAATTTGTTTTATTTGTGTAAATTTCGCAGACTTCTATAAGCGTGGGGGGTCTGGCTAGCTTTAAGTGTTAATGCCTTCTCATGTGTTGGGAGCAACTTTCAACTACGACCATAACAAATTTTAGCTTAATATCTTTAAAAATGACTAAGTTACGGGCATTTAGTATTTGTTAAGTTTGTTTAGCTGAGGCAGCCATCTTGGATTTGATTAACTCCAAAGTGTTATCGACTAAACTTTTGATTACTTTGTGAGAGTTATTTTGAAATTTTTCTAGTAGTTCATTATACATCTTGCTGACAGATAGGGTGGACAATAATGGTTAAGGGTTAAAATCGGGTACACTGAGTAGTGGTCAGGGTACTTGTTGTGAATGATTCTCAGCTACAACACCAGGTCTTTGTAAAACTAATTGAGTTTCCAACATTTTTGTGGTTTGTTAAAGTCACTTAGCTTTGGTGGCCATTTTTAAATTAAACTAACTCCAAAAGTTAAGGAGTATCAATCATTCATCCAATGATTACTTGGAGAGCTTTATACAAATGTGTTTGGTGGCTGATTGGATATTTTGCTAACACGACAAACACAAACACACCTCKTTCATGTCCACATTGCTTTTGGCAGAGGACAATGATGACACTGCAAAACTCYCCCCTGGCCAAAACAAAAACCAGCAGAAAATCAATTTGTGTCCGCTTCGTGCCGAGTCATTGTGTCCACTGTTTTCTGTTCCACATCCTGATCCCTTGGTTCTACCTCTTCRACCCTCATGCAGGTCAGTGCCTGGCAAAGACTGGTGAAAACAAGTCACGGTCAGTCACCCTTACTTCCACCGGGACCCATCTACCCCCTCCCCATTTCCAGGAAGTGACGCTGGAATGCGCCAATCAGACTCCGGTAACAAGAAAAAAAAATAAGCTTTTTACAGCTTTATCTGCTTAGTGTGCACAATA